AATAATTCTTGATTATTTTGGTACATATATATGTGCATGTATGCTTAATTTTATAATAAAACGTAAGCTCTCTATGTTATTTAATTTACTAAATTCGACATACATAAACTAGGTTGTATGATTTGTACTTCAAAGTACCTACATATACATAACATACATATAAATCTTACCATTGGATGTGTAATTTGTAGGATTACAAGGTACTCTTTTGTAAAAAAATTCCGGACTAAAGGGGGTCTTAGGCAGTGGCCACATTGTGGTATTGCCTTGCAACTTTAATTCACTCTATATCTTTCTGATATACACCCAAGAAATAACAAAAATCATTAAACAATATAAACAAATGCAGTAAAACTGGGAAAGTAACTTAAATAATGACTGAATTGGTCTTAACATACATTTCTTTTGTAACTTCCTTCCAAAGGCAGCGCAAACAACCTATAGAATTTAAATCCAGTTTACGTGACACGGGCCGTGACATGGCAGCGATTCTCTTATGTACTTTTTCAAAATTTGCGCAGCATGGGGCTGGCCGTTACCTACTTTGACAAAAATGTAGGTTCAAGATGTCAAGCATACACCTTTTGAATGTCTCACAAATTTAATTATCTTGTAATAAGAATGAATGGGGAATGCCAAAATGTGGTTTCAATTTTCACCCACTGTGAAAAACATATATCTGGCAGTTGCAAGACTCTTATGTATTCAAAAAATAGAACTTCTGATAATACCGTAAATACTCTACCAAGCTGAAAAGTATTTAATTTCTTGGAAACGTAAATCAGTTTTAGGAATAAATAGGCGTTTCAAAAAGATAATGTAAATATCACTAACAATGCGCAAATCTCTCCACCGAGTACCCGGTATTCGAATCTCGCGCTCTGATACTCGGCTATTTGAACAAAGTACAGGGTGCGTCATCTATTGCTTTTTTCTATTTGAAAAATCATCACGCTTTTTACGAGGTGAAATCGAATCTTTTTATTGATAAATGAAGGTTGGTTTATGCCATTTATGTATGGAAAATAACATCAGTCATGTGACCACCGCGGCTTCGTTTACAGTCCAACATCCGAACATCAAAATTTTCAATGACTTTTCCCAGAATAATCGGGTCTATGGCCGCAATTTCAGTCCGAATATTGCGCCTTAGGTCTTGAATTGTCCGGGGACCATTCGCATACACTTTTCCTTTCGAAAATCTCCAAAGAAAATAGTCAAGAGGTGTTAAATCGCACGATCTCGGGGGCCAACTGACATCTGAATTTCGTGAAATTATGCGGTCTTGAAATTTCGTGTGCAATAAGGCGATTGTTTGGCGAGATGTGTGAGCCATTGCTACGTCTTGATGAAACCAAAGATCGTCGGCACCAGTACGATCCAATTGTGGCCACAAAAAGTCGGTTAACATGCCGCGTTAACGTTTCCCGTTGACGGTAATAGCCTTTTCTTCGGCATCTTCAAAGAAGAATGGTCCAACGATGCCACCAGCCCATAATCCGCACCAAACAGTCACTTTTTCATGGAGAGGTTGTTCATGATATTGGTGTGGATTTTTAGCCCCCCAGAATCTGCAGTTTTGCTTATTTACGTACCCATTGAGGTGAAAATGAGCCTCATCAGAAAACAGCACTTTGGCCGAAAATCCGTCTTCTCTTTCCAGCATCCAATTAAGATAAACACGCCGCTGTTGATGGTCTGCCGGCTTCAATTCTTGTGTTAGTTGGATTTTGTATGGATGGAGGTGTAAATCAATGTGTAAAATCCGGCGTAAAGTGGTCTCACTAATTCCCAAATGTTGCGAACGGTGCCTAGTCGAGGTGGTTGGATCTTCTCGCTCATTTCACTCACTGCGGCTATGTTTTTACGAGTACAGAGCTGGACGAGTATGTTGGTAGGGTCTACGACCTTCAGCTGAACCAGTTTTCCTCAAACGGATAACAATCCAACGAATTCCAGGCTCTGTAGGGCGTCCATGTCGGCCAAAACTAGTGCGAAGTTTGCGAAAAGTATTTGTTATATTTCGATCGTTTTCGTAATAAGTTTGGATAACCAAAATGCGTTGTTGTGTTGTAAACGAATCCATGACTATAAACGGCATACCTTTGACAGTTCATTTATGCATACCACATGACTTTTGACTCACATGGTAACACATAAACTTATAGGTAAAAAAAAGTAATAGATGGCGCACCCAGTAGTAGCCGGTAGATCCGTAGTTAATATTATTTTCAAAATAACGATCATTCGTCAAAACTAGGTACCTATTAGTATAAAAAGCTAACACAATTAGCAAATTCGTAATTTTTGCCGAACCGATGGAGCATAAAAGTTCTATATTTTTTTTAAGACTTTCAATCTGGCTATGAGCATTGCTTTGAACATTTGTAGTGTCTTCGTCGCCTGCACGGCTATAAAATTGTTTCTATAAAGTTGTGGTTTTAGTTTCGCGCGATTCTTATATTGGTTTCAAAGTATCTAATCAGAATACAGTAAATTCTTACGACACCACTCCCTAGAGGCAAGGTCCCTCGATATCTGCAGTGCAACCCAAATGACGACGAACGAGACTGAACAAGGATGTTACTCCTTGTCCAGTCGATAAATATGCACATGGTTATTCGAACCGAAAGTGATATTTTGACTCGTTGTCGTTGTATAACCCACTCACCAGCTAACATATGCTGTCCTGGCGCATGCCATATTAGCCCAAGAATATTGTCATTGTTGAAATGATTTGCTGACGAATCGACCCTGCGTTGTTGAATGAAATTTTTCCATGCCACAATTCTGTACAAAAGACTTGTAATGATAGTATAAGATATACATTTTCATATACATTTCTTGTACCCGTGGCGTGGCGACTTTGCAGTCTTGGATGACCAAAAATCATGGTGATGTGTGTACATTTCAAGACGCGACAGACTGTTTTAGTATTCCACATATCTTTTATCTGAAAAACTTTGAAACACTACAGTTGAGCATCTCTGTATGCAATATTTTATCCGACTGCTATTCTCATCGATCACGTTCTGAAGTATTTCAGATTTTGGCATAAAACTTGGTTTAGGGAGGTTTTCTAGCATGCGAAACCAGAATCCGTTATTTTTTATGGCCAAACTTCTAGAGGGGGCCACTTACAACATTATATCGGTAAATAACATCATAACTTTTTCCCTGTATAAGAAATTTCAAAGCTAACCTATTACTCGTTGAAATGGACGGAGATTTTTTCAGTTCTGGCTCACTGTAACCTACTTATTCACACATTATTCAGCCGTTTTTAACGCAACCCCACAATTTTGCCCACCTTTGTTTACACACAGCCAATAAAAAATCAAATCAACAATACAAAAATTGTTTCCCGGACAGTGGTTTCATAAATATCATTGAGCCAAAACGCCGTCCAATTCTCGGCCCTAGCTATATTTAATACTTGCAGCTTGAAAGTCATCCATGCTTGTCTTGGACTATAATTTCACATTGAGGTCATAAATTGATCTAAAATTACGCCAATGCAACGCCGAAAAGCGTCGAAAACCAGCCAATTGGCAACAAATCTTCAGTATAATCGAAAGTTTTGGCGAAATGTGGGCAGTTAAGTGAATGAACACATTTAACAAAACATTTTCCCATAAACTAGTCTGCATATTACTGCTGCCTTGGTATACTCGCATTAACTGATAATAAAACAAATAACATATATTACAAAAAAGTCTTAAGAAAAATGGTTTAACTGTACCATTGAGCACTTCACAATTAAAAGAAGTATTTCCATGTTTGACTAGCTGCCAAATAAGACCACAAATGTAGTACTGAAGATTTACTAACGTTTTGGCCACCTCGATACAAATCAAATATAATGAGCGCATTCAACGTAAAGCGGTTCAGGGATGCGGCGCTTTCATTCTAAATATGTACAAGGCCGAGATAAGACCCAGCCTCAAGTACTGCTCACACGTCTTCGGTTCTACCGCCTTGACTCCATTGTCAATTCCCTATGATGTTCAGGGGAGGGCTGTTCAACTGATCGATGACATTTCTCTAACTGACAGTCTCAGAACCATTCGCACCGACGGGAGGTCGGTGGTCAACAGGCCTCAACAGGCTTTGCTCGTCGAACTTCCCTGGCCGGTACAACTGCTCCTTCATTCCTAGTGCGTTGAGATCGTGGAATAGTCTGTCTGAGGGGGATTTTTCAGTTCTGTTAATCTTAAGCAGTTGAAGAGTTGGATTAACAAGGCGTATTCAAAATCCTCATAGCGGTCCTTGTGCCCAGGTATTTAGGTTTCTGCCTACGTGACTGCTTAAGAATAAAAAAGCCATGGTTTAGCTTTGTCAGTTTGACAGCAGACTTCACTTGGCTGTCAGATTTGATAGTTTGTTGGTTAAATGTTGCGAACAGTCAAAGCTATTCAACGGCTACCGATAATACTATAAATTAATATATTGTCATTATCAATTTTAGATTTGAAAACCGGTACCGAGGTGGCAGAAACGTTAGTGAATCTTCAATTATACATATGTAGTTTTATTTATCGTCCGTGAAACATAGAGTGATAAGCGACAATACCACAGGATAAATTTCAGGTGTTACAGTTTCTTAGAAAAATATAATCTACAATGCTTTTCAAGAAGGCCCTTCCCCTGTACTCATTTTTTTTCTGAACCGATTAAGTTGAAATTAGCAGCGACTCAATGTTCAACGCTCAACTTTGACAGCATGCTAGTTTATCGTTTTAACCCTGTAATGCTTAGTGGGGTTTCGCATCACCCCAAAGAAAATTCAAATGTTCACTAATTTTTTGTGCATAAATTGGCGACATCGGAGATCCCGCTATGTTCATTTGAGGTTAAAGTGTGTGTGTTGTTGGTCGCACATTTTTGTTCAGTGTAATAGTTTATATGATATTTTGTGTTTGGGGTGACGAGTAACCCCAGGTAAGCTTAAACTGGTATTTTTATTTTATTCCACACACTAGATTACGTAATTTATTTAGATGGCTGTCCGACCAGATGATCCCAAATTTGAAGAAACTCTGTTACGATGGAATGAAGAACTCGACAATGAACCTGATTCAGATAATGACGGCACTGACTATGACGACCATGTTTCAATTCAGTCCGACAGGGAGAGCACCTACTCAACGGATGATAGTGAAGTAGAGAGTGAGACAGAACAACAACTTCCTGGCAAAGTAAAAAGGAAAAATGGACATATTTGGAGCACTGAGCTTCCATGTCCTACTCGAACACCTAAGCGAAACATTGTTTCATGTATTCCAGGACCAAAAGGTGCGGCCAAAAATATTTCAACGGAATTAGAGGCATGGAAGTTATTTTTTAGAGCGAATGTTATAGATATTATAGTGTTGCATACAAATATGGAAATAGAACGACTAAGAGGGAAATATGTTGCTAATTGTGGCTTCGTTAACGAGACAGACGTTGAAGAGATCTTGGCTTTGATAGGACTGCTTTATATGACAGGTTGTAGAAATGACAACCATCTAACTACAGCAGAAATGTGGTCAAAGCATGGACCAGAAGTGTATCGATGCGTAATGAGTGAAACAAGGTTTAGATTTTTGATATCTTGCCTCAGATTTGACGACAAAACCATGAGAGACCGAGTAGATAAATTTTCTCCAGTACGTAATATATGGGAAATGTTTATATCTAACTGTACAAAATACTATACTCCTCACAGTTATTGTACCATCGACGAACAGTTATTGGGATTTCGAGGCAATTGCCCTTTTAGAGTATATATTTCATCAAAACCTGACAAATATGGAATCAAAGTTGTAACGATGTGTGATTCACGCACATATTATATGGTTACTGCTATTCCATATATCGGCAAAGAAAATAGGCCAGATAAAGAACCTCTCCCAGCTTATTACGTAAAAAACTGACAGAACCCATTCACGGAACCGGACGCAATTTGACGATGGACAATTGGTTTACTTCCATCCCACTGGCTGACAAAATGCTTGCTGACTACAATTTGACCATTGTGGGTACTCTCAGAAAAAACAAGAGGGAAATTCCTCCATCATTTCTCCCAAACAAACGAAAAGAAATTATGTCTTCTCAATTTGGATTCGGCAACCAAACAACCTTGGTGTCCTTCACACCCAAGAAGTCTAAATCTGTGCTACTTTTATCGACAATGCATTCTGATAGTACAATAGATGAAAATAAAAAACCCGAGATAATAAATTTTTACAATTCTACCAAAGGAGGTGTCGATACCTTTGACAAGATGGTGCACACATATTTGGTATCCCGCAAAACACGCAGGTGGCCATTACGCTTTTTTTATGGTATAATGGATCAAGCAGGCATTAACTCCAACATTATTTTCCAAATTGCTAAGCGTGATAGACAAACAAGTGTTCGTCGAAAATACCTATTTCAACTTGGACTACAACTGGTCAGGCCTCATATGGAAAGACGTTTGACAAAACCAATACCTCGAAAATTGAAAGAATCAATAATGAATATTCTAGATATGAAAACAGATGAAAAAGTTGATCCACCTCCAGCAAAATTGCTAAAACAGACTCGCTTCATTTTATGTCCAAGAACAAATGACCGAAAAACAAAAACTGCCTGTGCGAAATGTTTCAAGGCTGTTTGCAGTAATCATCGAGCTGAAATATGTACCGAGTGTTTGAAATAAATGTTTTATTATTGAAACAAAAGTGTCTATCTTTTATATTTTGTTCATTAAATAGGAATATCACTGGGGTTATTGGTAACCCCGCCTAAGCAACTATAGCCGTGCTATTCGCCTAAGAGCTCCAGGGTTAAAGGAATTTTCAACTGCCACTTTTACGCAAAAATGTGGTATATACGCATCAATTTCATTACTTCGTATTCCCGCTTGCTAACGTGACCTTTTAACAAAATAGTAAGTAAAGTGGTAAGGGCAGGGGGGGGGGGGTTTTGAAAAGTACTGTATAGGAAGTAGATATGCCAATATGTGGGCTACTAAGGAAATACGAAACAAATAGGTAAAACCCATGCATCTTCCATGTCAATAAATCGTACGGGTATTTTCTTGTAGTTCACATGTATGGATGGATCAGAAGCAAAACCATAAGTTAATTTAGAAGATAAGACAACGTTAATTGTCGAAAAACAACATTGCTCTTGACCGATATAACGATTACCTGAACAAGATTGTCGCATTCAGTATAAAGAATATCGAGCATAACATGCACCCATATCAACATAAAAAGAACGATTCGGCACCCAACGAGTAGTTACATCGACCTTACTATGAGGTGCCGCTGATCAGTGATTGTAACGCCCGCGGCGAAAACATGTCTGCTACCGCTGCCGCGGCCGGCTGTCAAAACTTCAGCACGTTTTCCAAAATCACACGCAACACACTGTGACTGTCGCTGATCTTTTTTACGTACGTACCTTTGTGCGTTTGCTGCGTGGCACGCCGCATCTGCCTGCAGCTGGGTGTGCCTTGCCTGTTCGATCGTCAGTTGTTTCTTCTGTGACGATGACGGCCCCGACGAGAGGAGATGCACTTGCTCTGACTCCGACACAGTGCCGCGACAAGGAATCCAGCAGGATTTACCAATCCTTATCGGACTAGCCGAGGCGAGTGCGACGTTGCCAAGCGCACAGCTGCGGAGGCGCGTTTCGCGAAAGCTCCGGGTTTAGACCGGTCAACTTAGGTGGCGCAGAAGGCCTTAATCAGAATCGGCGTGTTCGTTCTCAAGGCAGAGAATTTTAGAGGCAAAGCTGAGGGTGCTGTTGCTTGTTATGTAATCACTTTGAAGTAGAGCGACTCGAAACTACTAACGAACTACAAGGTAATAAATGTGATGTGGAGTCAGCGAGTATGAACGATTTTTGGATTCATTTTAAGATGCAATTTTACTGTTAAATTTATCGGAGATGGTGAACCGAACTAATAAAAGTTTAAAAATAGCTGATTAAAGGTTTAGTGATATAGAAGAAATAATCTGTAAAGCATTTCAGACAGCAAAAACAACTCTGAAGCAAACAGTAGAATGTAAGTTTCTTCTCCATCATTGGGCTAAGTATTATGCCCAAGACCGAAATACAAGTCACGAAATGCTTGAACTTTAAATCTGAAGTCATTGGAAATTGTGTACAGACATCAAAAGGATGCAATCAACATAGTACTTGTGGAGAGGCAGTTCATAGCCCTCAACACCCCTTCCCTCATGTTTCATGTGGATGTCCACCTGCAAAATATACAAAGGACACACATGCACTTCAGATAGATCGTTTATTATTTGGAGACTTTCAAATTAAAAACAATATCACATAAGCATGTGTTTCAAGAAGTTCGTTAAGCATCAACTCGGTGAGTGCTGGTATCGAAACCATCGAGTACAGGTTCAGGAATCGATTAATAATCGGTTCCTACTCCGTTACTATAAGGAATTACCAGAATCAGAAGCTATCGGTTTCGAGACGGGAATCGAAACCATGGAATTGAATCACTATAAGGAACGATTTGACCCAGATCTCCTTTGATATCCCAACCAGCGTGTCAGATTCACGTTCATTTGCGTATCGCAGTGTGATCATAATTCTATATTAATCTATAATCACTAAATGTATACGATGTACAGACTGCTTTAATGGATAGAGGCGGTATCAAACTACGACGTCATACTTTCTGCATTATCGAAGCTTTTCGAAGTATCGATTATCGAGTGTTCTGGGTTCACATTCGTCAGACACTCAATGAAGTTTGAAAAGTAGTAAATAAATAATCGGTGGTCATACAAAGAACCGGGATTATCGGGAGCAACAGTCAAAGTAACTGGTAGGGCGAGGATTTTGGGACTTTAGGGCCAAATTCAGTATTAAAATCAGGTTAAAATAAACTGCAGTTGAATTAATCCCACTTCCGTACCTGGCCTATTTTGGTGCTGGCAAAACTAGACAAAGTTCTTCGCTTCCGATTCTGCAGTTCAATTCAAATCCTAATGAAATCCCAGGACTTTCAGAACTGGGATTACCCGGGACTACCCCTAGTCAAAACGCTTCGCTTTTGGTAACAAAAATATCAATAACTGAGCTGCTTTGAGGAGCAAGCATTAGGCTTTTATTATTTCAAAGCGCCATGCATTCAAGCTGACATAATTGCCAATTGTTTCTTGCGTCGTCTCAAAATTGTCGAACTTGCTGAATCGATAAAAAGCGCATCAAACCATCATCGGCAGCCCAATACCCACAACTGGAACTAAAAAATTATATAATCCAAACACGAAGTACAAATGCATATTACCACGATAGGATGTGATGTCTTTATATGTTTCAACGAAAAAAACATGTATTCGAACCATGACTTGTGTGTATATAATGTTTCAAGGCAAAAAAATCATGAACTCGAAACATGACTTCATTAAGTCTAAAATACTTCATAATATTGAATATTAATAACACTCTCGCAAGCGATTCCCTGTATTGCCGCCAGTGTTATTCTAGTCAGAACGCAAAATGACAATTGGTCACCCTATAAGCAAACATGTTCTATAATTGTTTGCGATCAATACCCCAAGCGCAGATATTGAATCTGTTATTTTAGAATGGAGCTTATAATCAGAAATTTAAAATAATTCACAATGTTTCATCTCGAAGAAAATACAAGAATAATCATTCTGATCTTTAAACATCAAATAATCATTAGATACCAGACTATTCAATTGAAATTGTATTTATTTAAATACTCGTTTACAAACCGGTAATCTTTAATTGGTTTACTCGCTAACTTAGATACGTGAATAATTTCATACACATACTAGTTGTATCAAGCGCATCAAATGGAACTTGAATTCCGAGATGTGTGCTTATATCAATAGAAATATTATCGTAGTGGAAAAGACCAGTGGCGTGGTAAGATTATT